GTGTCGCTGCGTATATGTAAGAAACACAAGACAAATTGGCCACCCAACACTGACAAGTTGCCAGCGGCTGAAGCGGGCCCAGAGTAATGGGTGCAGTGCTCTTACAAGATTGCCAATTTAGCCGGCTCAGTTATTGGGTGATCTTGATCTCTGCAGGAAATATCATATTGCGTGAAGTATTAGACGATGGTGGTGTAACGCGCTCGTATATCAATTTCATTACTTGGCGTTTACTCAGCCCTACCCGTGTGTTTGCGTATGCAATTACTGGGTATCTTTTATCTAGCCTCGGGGTCTATCAGACCCCAACGTCCCCTCTCAGCAGGTACTAGAGACACCACTTCTCTGTCTCACCATCGAGCTATGGTTTTACTAAAGGAGGGAGCGGCGGAGGACTTTTCATCAACTTTCTGTCTTTCACTGTGGGAAACCTTAGTCTGTGTGGTGTGTTAGGCTATATCTCTGCCCGACACGACCAGGGTGCGCCTTTATAAAGTGATGTCAATTTCCGTGGGGACTGGTGCAGGATATCACGTAGGCGCTTCTGCTTTTCCAAGAACTAATGACAGCAGTTTCTTTTCTCCAGAGAACTCTCCCCTTGTTTGGGCAGTCAACACAACTGCAGACTGTGGTTAAATGAAAGGCACCATTTTCATGAGGCATTCTAGTTATTTCATTCTTGCAAATTGAGATCGTTTCGGCGGGACAAATAGGGGGGGGGGGAATAACATGAGTTGGTGTTTTGTGAAATATGTTGATGTCAACTAAAGACTTCATGAAAAGCTGCAACATATAATTTGAAGTTTGTTTGGCGATCACCTCCTACAGACTCGCCTTGTCAAGAGAAGCAACCCCTTTAAGCCCAAAGCGAAACCAACAAAAACAAAAACAATACGCTAACACAGAGCTAAACAAGTATTTGTGGATTGCCTTAGCTTTTGTGCTAATTACTTGCGACCTTCTTGAACAAAGACATTGACTATGGGGAACAGTGGTACATGAAAACATTGCACGGCTTTGGAAAGCTTTACCGTTCAGGAAGCACAAACTGTCGGAACTGACAAGGCTACGCGCTACATCACCACCACGTAGCATGGAAACTAGTTTGTATGGAGTGCAGTCGTATCAGAAAACGAACTATTATATATCAAACAGTTCACCCAGGCACTCCTTTACTTTTCACTTTTTAGTAAACCCAGCTGCTGTCGATACGATATTTTTTACTGCAAAAGCATAGGTTGGCTTTAAAGTTATTTAAACAAGACAAGGCAAGCCTGGTAAAGCTGGTCCCAGAGTACGCAAAATTCAATTAAATTGATGCATAATGGCTATAAACTGGATTGACCCATTCATGGGCGTTACGGGGTAATACCATACGATAGCACTGCCCAGCTCCCAAGTGACAGTGAGTCAGTGAGTTAGCCAGGTACAAAGAGGAATATAGGTTTGCCTGCTGAGTAAGCATCCTAATTCTCGTGAGCTTCGCCTGCATAGTTTCATATGACTAGACAAATAAAAAGAATAAAAAGCTACAGCAACAAAATACAAGAAATGATACAGAGGCGAGGTTTATGCCAAAAACAGCCAAACCGTGAGGACGATTCATACTTGTATTGTTCTTAGCAATATAAAAAAAAGTGAAACTTCAACCACTTGTTTGAAGAAAAAAAATGATGGTATCCGTTATGTGGGCGGGAATTGATGTGTGTGCGTCCGGAACGCATCATCCGGGTATGTGTCTTCGGCTGAATGTATAATATCTATTGGTCATAGGATCTACGTTGCGTGCATACCTTGACGACATTCTCAGTGTCATTCTGGAAACTCTATTTCAGCTCAGGTTCCTTTGGATTAGAAAGACATGCTTGCTCCTAAGATGTGTAGGTGTGTCAGGCTGACCGTTTGGTAATGACATATATGCCTTGGCATGGTGGATTTAGTAGATTTCCCATCGAAGTAAATGTTCTTTTAAAGAAATAATTACTGATGGCACGAATAAAAGTCTACTACGCTGGCCCTAGAGCTGATTTCAGAGTGCACACGATTCTTCTTAATTGATTCAGATGACTAGGTCTTTTCATTCATTTGGTCTTCATAATAGGCCGGGTTTAGCTCTTTGACTTCCTGGCTCACAAGCGTCAGTCAGTCAGTCAGTCAGTCAGATTTGTACAAAGAGGACACTATAGTATGGCCCTCTGGGACTAGCAAACATTCTCTTCGGAGACACTGTCACTCAGCTTGACTGGGCACTTAATCAAGTGCATTAATTAAAATGAACAACCATCTGTATTAATGACGATCGAGTCCATAAATAGGATATCATTCTCAACGAAGAAGGTCGAGGGCAATCAAGCAAAAGAATCACGTCTCCCAACAAAAGAGAAAGTCAACCGATGAAATGATCGGATCCAGGTCCTTTGAATATACCATCGGCGGGCAGGTGTGTCTCGTTCACCAAGGTAAACCGTGTGGGAGTATGCTCGATACGTCTCCGGACACATAACACCTGCAACACGCTAAACTAGATTTCGCCAAAATCATGTCGATTTTTCGTCGGTATCTTCCTCGCCAGCCAGCGAGGTCCTGAACAACACGGAAGGCACGCCTAGAAAGCTGGTACCAGAGCACACGGTTTTATATTCAATTGATTCACAATGTCTTTTCACTTGAAGTCTTTTCTTGTATCTGGCGTACACAATGGACCGACTTATCATATCAAGGGGTAATCATATACAATAGCACTGCTCGGCTCTCCTCACCAGCCAACAGTGACAGTCAGTCAGTCAAGTCAAAGGTTTGGCAAACATATGCGTTGGTTACGGTTTACAAGCACTCAAACTCGTACTCAAAGAGTTAATTAGTTGTTACGTTTCCAATTGTTCGCGTACTGCAAAGACGAAGGTTTGCTATGTAGGGGACATTAAACAAAAAAAAATAGCCTTACTGCGTCACTTGCTCATAATTACTTTTACAAAATTCCGAATGCACTGTATTATTCTTGAATAAATTTTAAAAAACCTGGTTCATGTATGCACTACAACGAAGTAGATACATTTTTATGCATAAGTCATTCATGTCTTGGCACAAAGACAATACAGTGTAACATTTGAATAAAGAAAGAAAAGAAACTGCGCGTGCAGTGTAGGCGCTGGTCAAAGTTCGCGTAGAATCGTCCCACTTAGGCTACAGGTCTGACTCATTTCTGGGGAAGCCCGCCATTTACAGTGATAACATAATGCGCGACACGTACTCGACTCCTGCATTATGCGTGAGACCCTTTACCCTCTTTCTGTCATTCCAGGCCATTCAACCATGAACCAAAATGTATCATTTATCATCATGGTCTACGTGCATGTTGCACCAGTCGGGGGCACTGCCAGTACTTTTTCCGGCTGCTTTGACGAAACTCAAACATATGATTCAGAAGCTTCAAAGCTCTTAAAGTTGGAACCTCGTCGGCTAACTGGCGTGCTCTGACCTCCGTGGAACCATTATTTTCCAACTTTTTTGAGTTGGTGAAGTTAAAATAACAAAGGTTAAGGTTAAACGACAGAAATGTCTTACGTGCACAGATTCCTAGGCATAACACACACAATCACGTAGGTATGAATACATATACAAATACGCAACAGTGAAATTTAATCCAGATTACCAAAAATAAAGTCTACACATTCTTCACGTTTTAAAATGAGTTTGTTTAAATTATTTGAAGGCAGTACGGTAATTCATTTGATAAATTAACTATATTCAGAATAATGGGAGGATTATGCGTTGAATTTGGGCTTCGCTTTGCATGCACTTTAACTTGTAGTATATGGAGTGATTTTTTTTAAGCTCAGGAATGAAAAAAAAAAGGATTTTAAGTAGGATTTCAATAACGACAATTTCTTGCTGAAATGTTTCATCATATTTCTTAATGGTGTTGGAACCCCACGTCGTGACTCACGAGGAAAGCTAAGTTGATTAATATGCACTGAAAAAAATGGGGATAGGCCTAAACATCAGAATTGTGATAGACTAACCGAAAGTCAAAAAGCTATTGTGGTCAATAAGTTCAGCCAACTTATGGTTTATAATACTGGACGCTGATTTTGCGCCAACATGCGACAAGCCAAGTGACACGCGCACACGAAATCTTCGCCAAAAATATCCTGCATGGTTGAACGTGCAATCTAATCTGCCTTGCCGTACACCTGACGGAAACCCTAACCGACATGACATAAAAAGCCGACCGCCAATTAGGATCCCAAGAAGGGAAATATACATTATGGAGGAACTAGGTATGGGTTGCAGTGCCTGGCGCGGTGACGCTATGGTTCCGTATTCGGGGTATGATATCATTGTTTTGCAAGGCGGAAGTGTCAGGAGTCAGCTGACGAAATAATTGAATTAGCCGAAAACAGACCTCGGGAAAAAAAAGGCTGTTGATAAAATAAACATCCGTATCAATTTTTTTTATAAAAACTGGTGCGATGTCACCTTTGCGAATAATCACGGTGTTTTGCAGGATTTGTTTCATTTCGACTTGAGTGGGATCGTTTCGAGCAAAATTGTTTTTTTTTACGGCTTGTTGCGACAACGTTGGTAATACGGTAGGTGTCTATATAGGAGTAACTAACGTTTGGTATAAGTGATTGAAAACCAAACCTGAATTGTAATGCTAACATTTTGTTTTAAAGGTTATAAGAGATATAATTTGTTTGTGAAACGTTAAAATCGCAATGGCTATTTCGATGCATTATGTATGGCATTTGGCGTTAAATACAATTTGAGACCGATACGGTAAAAACACACATTAGCCAGTCAGATGGATAACAGCGCTGGCGCATCTGCATATTGCGCCTTCAGCAGAGAAAAACAAGCGGCAACACTTTGGGACGCTGACATTTCAATATTTGGAGGCAAGGTGTTGGGTTGCAAGTTGCAAGGCACTAAGAAGTAAGCCAGTTTGACATCTCCATTGATTACTGTTGACTTTGATTTTCTCTCCACGTTACCAGGAGCTCCACCTGTTCAACATGGCGCCTACGAATCACACGCTGGCCACCATCTTGCTCTTGTGCTGTGCCCTGTCCGTGGCCCTGCTCCCTAGCAGCGCCGGTAGGCTGCAGAGCACATGCGCAGTGGGGACCACCTCGATCAGGATCCAGGAAGAGTTCGTGGACGAGGATGGCGGGGAAGTGGTCTACTGCAGGGGCACAGCGACGGTCAACAAGTGCGAAGGGACATGTATCTCACAATCGACACCGAGTATTGTGTCACCAACGGGATATTCAAAGGTACACATTCCAAACTTTGATCATAGTCCCAGCGTCCCGATCCCTTTCCAATTTATTATTGGTAATGGACAATACACGGGTGTACTCTAGGAACAAAACTATATAATTTAGCTGAGCGGTGATAATGGAGTGCTCAAAGGGTCACGTGCTTAAAAAGCAAATCTATCTGCAAGGCAATTTGATGAGATTAGTTGTGCTTTACAGGTTGATTGCATAAACCACACCAAAAATGCGGGAAATATCAGTTCGATTAATCTGTTACCGTCCAATATATGTATTCGGCAGAAACGTATACCAAATCGAACCGTTAATTGTTATTGCACATTCAACTGCAAATTGGGCCCAAGACCATTATGTCGTCAAGTACATAGTAATTGCTGAGTGGATTTTTACGAGGGGAACCAGTGACCAGCAATATAAATCACATGACATTTTGGCTGGTAACCTATTTTTCGCTGAGCCAACCTTTTCCGTGCTTTACTGCTCATTTCTTCATTGTGCTTAGTAGCTTTGTGAATTTGCCTCAGGTATCGACGCAAGGTGTCGGCATCACGGCATCGCGTGTGAGACACATACGACCTTGAGCTCGAAAGTGATTCAGTTATTCCGCTGAAGTTCTCGCGCTCTTAAGTCACCCTTACCATTTTGACAAGGTGTTTCCACCTGCGTGGTAGTCATGAGTGTTTATAGCCCTTCATGAGTCTGGAAAGCTTTCAAAGTCTCTTCACGTCTGTAGCGTATACATGTAGATCTTTTCGTTGGCGCCGTGGTACTGTTCTCGCCTTCCACCTTATCCAATCCAATCTATAGATAAGTGGTGTGAGTTTTCAGTCCCAGCCTGACTCCCTGGGTTTCCCCTGGAATCTCATTTCTGGTTGCCTATCCATCCCATCTCTAAAACTGCGCATTTCACCATTGTCATCTCACCGTGACTTTGTTTCAGGTTCTGCGAGCTACTTTGGGGAATCTTGAAGATGAAAAGAAAATCAACTTTTCTTTATCATTCCATCACACATTTCAAATGTCAATTGTCCCTAAAAAGTTTTCGACATCAGACTGAGAAAGAAACAAACCAGAAATTGACGAATTGAAATGCATTCCAATTACAGCAGTTTTTGATTTTGTTTCCTTTAGATATACAAACCGAGGGGCTAGATAAACGATTGAGGGAAATCAGAAACGAATAAAAAAGTCAATACATTTACTCTTGCAAGTACATTCTGAACGCAATGCTGTCTTCTATTCTGCATTGACGCAAGTAAACTAGGCATTACGACGTCAATGACATTAAAAGAAAAGAGAAACGCACACTTCGCACTTTCAGATTCTCCTGAGAAACTATATGAACCTCAGAGACCTATTAGACATGGCGTGGGGATACGAGTAGTGTAGCGAGTCTATGTGACTCATGGAACTTATTATGTAATTAATTTAAGGATGACGTAAAAAGCAAGTGCCATAGGGAGTGTACTGTGTGAAATTTGTTTTTGTATTATGCATGATGTACGCTTCTATAGACCCTTTGTGTTGCGGATGTCTCACAGGGTGTTCTTCGTTAATCTAATTTTTTAGCAATGATGCACATGAATTTACTCATGCCTGACAAAGCGATACAAACCCACTGCCCCTAACACCGCCTTAACGCATATAAGGTCTATTGTAAGTCACAGGTTTGGCGGATTTTTTTTCGGTACTAATGGTAACTGAAGAGTAAAAGCAAGATATCTGAATTTGCTTGCTAAAAAAAATTGATAAATGTCAATGTTGTTGATTGTTCGTTTCTCACGGGTGAATATAGGCCTAATCAGGATGCATGTGTCGTCGACCGGTCTTCAGTCCAAACTAATATGTTTGTATCATGTACTCATATAGGTTTATATATTATCTGCTTTGAAAAAATATCAAATCTGAATAACTGAGATGACAAATCTTGATGTGGGGCAGGTGAGCATGATACTGCAGGTTTGTAAATTTTGGCTTGGGCTTTCGGGGTAAACTATTTCGCGTAAATCGAAAACAAACTCATCCAAACTGAATTACATTATTTTGATATTTCCTTTTTGTGACACACGATTACCGCCAAACTTCCTGATTGTCTCCTGGAGGAGATGATAATCCACTTGATTCTCGGAAGCACGTCCCACCTAAATTGACTGTCTCGAGTCTCTCTTATAAACCATTGCCCATTTGGCGTAAGAGGCGGCACGTGTTCGCGCTGGCTGTACCAACACCTTTGGGTAACAGCGCGAAACCCATATCCACTGACCCACGGATGCCGAATGCGCCCTTAGAGGTATATGGGCTTATTTAGGTTTTTGTGCTTTCTTTTTGTTTGAGACGACAAAATTGCTCAAAATCGTTTTAAAAGGTGTATAACCATTAGTCTGATGGAGTTTCAGCTCAGTGAATACGTTTTTAGAAAACAGAGAAAACGTGTGCACATTTTGAGGGATGTCTTGAACGCGGATTCCGTTGCTAACTATTGTTAAAAGTGTCAGGGGCACCCTATTTTTTGAGGGATGTCTCGAACGCGGATTCCGTTGCTAACTATTGTTAAAAGTGTCAGGGGCACCCTATTTTGTAACCACATTTATTATTAGTTCTCTTCCGCATCATGGCAATGCAGGCAACATCATTTCACAGCGTAATTGATGCCAGTCCTATCTTCACTTTGAGCCTTAGTTTCTGTTATTATAACATTAGGTATAGGCCTACTACGTGGCTTCCAAGGCACGCAGATCGCCCAAAATGTATGCTTTTGATTGTTAACTAACATATCTGAAAGGTCTGGGTTACACCCAAAAATCCACATAGAAATGTTTTACATTTACGTACAGCCTGTACGTATTTCAAGCAATAAATTAGTCATCGATTTGTTTAGGCCAAACCGTCAACATAAGACTGGCGCCGCAAAAAAAATGTGTATCATGTTAGTGAAAATTCAAATGTGATACCAGGTCCCACGCTATAGTATACAAATATTGAATGCTTTATCTCGTGGTGAAGTAAAACTAGCCTCCCGAGGTGATCCATGGACCATTCTATTTTCCCGAGGCGAAGCCGAGGGAAAATAGAATGGTCCATGGATCACCGAGGGAGGCTAGTTTTACTTCACCACGAGATAAAGCATTCAATATTTGTTTTATAACACTTCACCCACAGATTCTGCTTGATTTTAATATTTTACATTATTTAAATCTGAACACAGTTGAAATAAACTTCAATGTCAATACAAAATTGGTGGAAAATGTATTTCTCTCTTAAAAACTAACCCTTCACGAAATGTTTGAACCCAAGTCTGCGGCGCGCTCTCTTTGGAATAATACGCGCTACGCACAACGCGCAACGCGCACACCAACATGCATTTGCACACAAATACCGCGCCGTGGAAATAGTACTTTGGTTGCTAATGGTATAGTACTTTGGTTGCGATGCGCATAGTACTTTTGGCCGTGCACAGAAAGATAGCAAAATTAGAAAGTACCATGTGACTCGCTCTCGGCCAATCAAGACACAGAATCTGTGGGTGAGATGTTATAATAGAGACTTACACACACTGATGATCCTATAACGCACACGCGTTTGAACTCATTTTCGAAAAGAAACGTTGTGTAACAGGAATGACGACTATCGCTCCAAAGGCGGCGGCCCAATGGGGACCAAGATTCTGCATAATCTCTCTAAATATTATACAAATAACGAATGTTTGTGAGTGCGATGGTAAGAATAATTTCATGAGGTGACAGATTGAATGTTCTATTCCACGAGGCGAAGCCGAGTGGAATAGAACATTCAATCTGTCACCGAATGAAATTATTCTTTCCATCGCACGAACGTAAAACATTCGTTATTTGTTTTATACAACACCTGAATAAATTCTCGTCATTTGATTGGTAAATTATAAACTACAATTTATTTTGATTTTAAAGATGTTGAACTACCCCTTCACGAAATGTTTGAACCCAACGCTGTAGCGCTGGCTCTTTGGAACAATACGCGCTACGCTGAACGCGCACACCAGCATGCATTTTGCACGCAAATACCGCGTCATGGAACAAGCGCAAAGTGAAACGGTATAACGCATGGGTATAACGCATGGTCGCACCGTGCATTATACCGAATAATAATATGTCACGTGATCTACAATTCACCAATCAGATGACGGGGATTTATTCAGGTGTTGTATAAATTATTATTTCATGAGAAACGAATTTTAAATCCCAAAAGGACGGATTCTGGACGACAGTGTTCCTTTAGGCATCCATGCACACGCGCGCCGCTCACACTTCTTAGGGTAAACAAAATAGAAAGGCGCTCGTATAGATGCAAATATTTGGATGCAATTTTTGTGACGCAGTCACGCAACTCAGGTCAAACAAATTGCAAAGTTATTTCTTCGTGCTCGGTCTAGTTCGTGACAGTTCGTCTAATTTAGGATTAACTGAATCCTGACCTGTGTACGATCCCGGTTAGAGGTGGGTGTGTCGGCTGTTGGCTTGTCTTCAGTATTATGTTGACAGCGACCATTGACAAAATCTACGTACACTGTATATCACACTGCACGTTTCCAAATTAACTGCATTAAATCTAACGGTATTTACCACACCAAACTAATGCCGCCTTCATATTGGACAAAACAAGAAATTGTTTTGTATGCCAATGTACATACGTGAAAGGTTTATTTCATTGAAGTATTTTCCAAACTCCAACATTTTCAAGGGTAAAACTTTCACTGACATACGAAACGTAAGCAAAAATAGGTCGAATGTAATATGACCTATTGACCTAAGCCACAGATTAAGCCTTTTATATTATGAAAGGTTATCTCAGAACCGAGGCTTCGAACAGAATCACTCTGTATGCCAATGGGAGTTGAAGAGAATTGAACAGAATTGGACTGCATTGAATTTAAAAAAAAAACGTAGTTTTTCAAACTTTTAAAGAGGCTTCGTTTTTCTTATTTCGAAAAACAAAAAGAATGGTGACGTCACCCCTGCGCACCAATGCAAAGCACAGAATAATATTGTTGCAACTTAAACCAAACACCTTGTCCGAGAGCACTAGTGTAATGGCGTTTTGTCCCCGGGTTATGACGTAAATTTGCCAGCCGTAATTGGTGATTGTGATCTGGCCATCTCTAAAGTGGCTATAAGCAATAGTTCCCCGCGGGCATCGAATCGATCCTGCAACTTGAGACTGCGTACGGGTTCAGACCGACCACCACGCACAGTAAAGTACGGGCCAAAGAACTGCGTGCACGGACACTTGGCGAGCAAACAACGTACGTAGCTTGCAACAAGTAATGCTAAATAAACGCAATGTAGTATAGTTCAGGGAACAATTACCAACTATTACAAGATAGTATTTAAGTTGTCATCGGAGTTATAGACGTGGGCAATAAAGGGCAATATATGAAAATACAAAAGCGTGACTTTTTATCGGAATTTTAGTGAAAACACCAAGGACAATTGTAGGCTATACAGTGTATGACGCTTCGCCCATAAAGACACGCAACACACTGAAGAGCAATTCCAGCGCTTTTAGGGTAATGCCCTCGACACAGCCAACTATTATCTAATTAATGATTCAGAGAAATGATCCTAAAACTCCTACATAGTCTGTAATCTCCTTGACCATAATTACAGGGTGAGTAAAAAAAAAACAACCCAAATGTCGGGACCATTGTTTTAGTAAAGTTCTGCTGCATGTAGCACTTTCAAAATCTAGGATATGAAAGCCCAATTCATAAGGTGTTTTTTTTAGTACAAGAATCATTCAAATCACTCATGTACTTTTCAAGTTATGGAGTTTTAAACACAACCGCCGTTTAAGGTTCTGTCCATGGATCAGTGTTCTTTCAGCAAAACGAAAACAAATCACATATTAAAGGATGTGTGTGAATTGTTTTCGTTTTGCTGAAAGAACGCACACCTTTTTTTGATCCGTGGACAGAACTTTAAAACGGTGGTTGTGTTTAAAACTCCGTAACTTGAACACTACACAAGTGATTCGAATGATTATTGTACTAAAAGAAAGCTTATGAATAGGGCTTTCATATCCTAGATTTTGAAAGTGCTACAGGCAGAACTTCACTTAAACAATGGTCCCGACATTTGGGTTTGGGTTTTTTTTTTACTCACCCTGTATATGATGGATGTATAAGATTTGAAAAATACATTTTCCGATTAATTTACTGAGCTCTTAAAAGCTCTGTCATTGGCCTTACATACATGGAATTGCCCAAAACGCCCGTAGGCATTCGCCTGTTACCAGTTACCAGTTAGGCAAAAGGGTAGATTGATTTAGGCGTGGGTGGAATGTTGAGATGAGCGTAAAATGGCCAGAGAACAGGGCAATTAGTGAGCGGTGATTCTTTGAGCACACTTTGCACAAATCGATCGTATTTTCGTCCGGGCGAATGTGGTATAAAAGCGAAACCTACCGGGACACATTACCAACATCATGCTTGTTTGGGGCTTGTGTTTTGACTTGGCTATGGGTAGACCGCATCGCCTAACAGTAACAACGAACATTTTCACCACCTTTGTCCACGGGCAAGCTTCTATGCTCTCACAAAGTGTCGTTGGTTCGCTGTAATAACATCAACCTTTTTGACATGCACATTGCATCCTGCGTATGGATGACAAACATTCAATGCAGTCTTTGCACAAACCTATGGGGACAGTGAACCAGTCAAACTTGAAATAGTTTTTCCTCCAGTATTTTTCCAAAATTAAATGATCAACATTTCACCTGTTTATGCAGAGAATATAAGAAATTCAATTTGTAAATAAACTTCAGTTTTTAAACTTTCAAAATAAAATAAAGAAATCATATTGAGACATCATTCAAGGTACCAGTCATCAGGCCCAGAGGTACGATTCTGATGATTGGTCAGGCGTGCTCGAAATTTTGATTCTGATTGGTCTAGATCGGCACGGACATAGTCCATACGTTATGAAGCTGGTATCTAAAAGGGGATTCCCAAAACTGTCTTTATTCTGCCAAGCTTAAAAATGATTTTTTTTTAATAATTATATTGACCAGATGCATGAAAAGACTTCCAGCAGCTAGCAACCTTTGTACCTGGCTGAATGACTCACTGACTGAATGACTCAATGACTGTCACTTGTGAACCTGGCAGTGCTATCGTATAGGATTACACCCATTGCACCAATGGATGGATTAAATCCAGCCCATTGTGTTGACCAGATGCATGAAAAGACTTCTAGTGAATAGACATTTTGAATCAATTTTTTTTTATTTGTGGGCTCCGGATTGAGGCTTGCCTAGTCTAGAAACCACCCGCTCTCCAACCCGTCACTGGTACCCATGTAGGCCTCCCATGAGGAATATATGCTTCACTTTTGTTTCACTGGTTTCTATTTTACCCACGACAGGATTGCAGCTGCTGTCGGGAGGAGAGACTGGTATCCCAAGACGTAATACTGACGGAATGCTACGACAGCGCTGGTAACGCTCTATTGGGCCGGAGTTACCCAGTACAAGTTCCCGAGCCAGACTCCTGCCGCTGTCAACGATGCTCGCTTTAACGCGGTATTATACCAGAGTGTCGGAGAAAGGCCCATTTAGGAATTGGGGGAAAAATCTGCCCATTTACGAATAATACCGTGCCTGATATTTTGGGGTTCGTCAATTTCCATTATCATTGTCAATTTTTTTTTTTTTAATTATCTCCCAGTTATTATTTTCACCTTTCTTCAACTTGATGAACATTAATATGTCGAAAAGAATTATGTGCTTAAACGCCTCTTAAATGTAGAAATATGGACGAGTTAGCTTACCAAGCAAAGTTAGACTAGGAAATATGACACTCTCTCGAAATATGTATCAAAAGCAAGGAGGTTTTTTCTTTAGTTTATCTCATATGGATGCGTTTTGCTATTTTTGTGAAATTCTAAATGGGTCTGTTCTCCCAATAAAACTTACCGACGATTAACACGACCGAGATACTGAGTTCACCTGTCAAGGTAGAAAGGTGTATAATTTCATCTGTCAATGGTTGATTTCAGAGGGGGCTGTTTGAATAGCTGAACAGCCAACAAAATGGGGTATTGTCTATAAAAAAAAAAAAGTAGGAACTTCAAATCACATCACAGAAAAGGAGAATGTGGCAAATTTTGTCTGAGAATTTTGCCTCTAATTCTCTATCGTCTTTCCTGTAATATTTTTCTAATCATATACCATTATTTATAGCCTATTTATTCACTAGTGATAATGACATACCAAAACTGTAGCTAAGAATAATGATTCAAAGATTTTGATTAAAATGCCTATTTAAGAACTAACTAAGTATATGTACATAAATAAATAGTTGCGTGTTTAGCGACAGGTTTAGTGTGAAATTTTGACTTCTATGAAATACGGACTCATTGGTTGCAATGCGCACGTTCTAGTGAACATAATTGGCACAGTGACAGGTCACGTGTGAGGGTTAAAGTCCATATAAGGTAAATGGACCAGATTTCATAAGAGTCCAAATTTCACATGACACCGGATTAGTTACCTGAATGGCATTGTCAGTTATGGAAACTGCCTGTTGAAGATGATAGAGCATAAAGCAATCTGGACAGGATTGTCCATGTGGTCCCATGTAAGGGTGGGAGCATTGTGCCAACTATTGTACAAAGTAACCACTCCATGGAGATTAGTCTGAGCAGTAAGTTGAGACAATGCTTCCGCCATTACTGGGGGCCACTGTGAGTGTACAGTGACTCTGGGCCCGGATTGCATGGTCCATGGGTACGAACAGAATGGATAAAAAGGTTGGTAGCATAATTGGTTAAGTGCTAGAGTATCATGGTGGAGAATGATTGTTTCTGGGTGCACAGAATGCAGTAGTACAAAATTATAGCCCTGATTATTGTAGTCGCCTCTTAAATCGTTGGAAACGAAATACTTTGCGAGCTAATGTATCACTGTAGACTGCACTGTAGCTGTAAGCTTTGACGTGAACGTGAGGTGATGTTATCAGTGTTTAGTTATGGACTGAGAGAATAATAGAGCTTGACAAAAATACATGATATGACTTTAAAAAACAAACAAAAAGGAAGTCAAACAGAAGAGTTATCCCACGTACCTTAAAGATGACCGATGAGTGATAAGTTTAGTGAATTGATAATTGAGGCGAATGGAAGAGGAAGGGAAGGAACTGAAGGGGAGGATAATTGAAAGAGCTGTTCGAATGAACAAGAGTAAAAAAAAAAAAAAGTGACAAGGGAATGTAAAGGACCGGGCGTGTTTAAAGAAAAAAATGGAGACGGAATGAGATGTATACGAAGCATGCAGAAAGAGAAATTTGGAATGATATAGCAAGACAAGGCAACTTTAGTAAAGCTGGTCCCAGAAAGCACAAAATACTACTGGCTATTCAATGGAAGTGCTTTCATGCATATTTGGCTTGTTCATTTGGGTTACGGGATAATCCTATACGATAGCACTGCCCGGCTTACAAGTGACAGTGAGTCAGTTAGTCAGTGAGATAGGTACAAAAGAGGACACTATAGGCTGCCCCTCTGGGACCAGCAAAAATTGGAGTCTAGAAGGAGGTGTTACAGAGGGAGGAAGTTTGAACGATCAAATAAAGAGAATAAAGATGAGATGGATGTGGAAATGAAAGTAGCACACCACGAGGTTGATCGTGGGAGGAAAAGTGAAAATTATTTTTAAGTAAAGAAGAACACGTTCAATTTGAAGAGTTGTCGTTCATTTGCCAAGCGTTTGCATGGAATTCATCTTTTAGGTCCGAATGGCAGTTTATTGTCTTGTCAGTTACATGTGTATAGATTTTAATGCTGTAATATCTTCCATCTGACAATTAACGACATTTGAAACTAGAAAGCACTCAGAGAGCGCAAACCTCCGCCAAGGCTGAACAATTCCCCGCCATTATAGTATTGTCAGTACACCCAAAAGAAATACTCACATAAATGGTGAAGAATCGTTAAAAAGAATCCTGCATCCAGACCCAGGTCCGGATCACTTCCAAAATCTAATCGATTTGTACTTGTACCAAGGAGCACCCCTAAAAGAAATTTCACGCAAATCCGTCCATAACTTTTTGAGTTATCTTGTTAACAGACAAACCAACCAACCAACAAACTAACCAAATCCGATGAAAACATACCCTCGGCGGAGGTAATGAACGTGTTTGTGATGAACAGTCGAAGGAGAGAACTGGCATACCTCTTTGCTTGGGAGGATACTTATGTGTACAAATATTAAAAATGTGAAAATCGTAGGAAACTGTTGGTTTCTTAGGTGGCTTAAGAAAACAGATATGGTACCACGGTCATTGTTTTAAGGTACCTATAAGAAGGGCCTGACTGTCCTTTCTTAATCACCATAGAAGAATCATAGTTCGTGCATTTTGGAACTATATCGATTTGATCAGATGCCTATTATTTAATTTAATGTCTGTTTCATAGAAACAATTGACGAAGAATTTGTCAGTTTTATTTTGAAAGTACCGATCTTAGACAAAACAAACAAAAGCAAAAGATTACACCAAGGACCTTCCTCAAACAGAAGAAAAAAACAATTAAAATTGCAAATGAAATTGATGACTTAATAATGATGTTATAATGTTCTTTCAAGCTTCATAATAGCAGTTAAAAGCATGTTTTGTTTATTAGAAGCATGTAGTGAAAACAAATAAAGGAAGAAAGAACACATTCATTTAAAACATTTTGTCAAACGTGTCTGCATTAAATTTGTAGCTCATTATAGGTTGAATAATGCACATTGTTAAAAGATTTACATTAAAGCATCAACAAATATTTGAAACCATTGGGTTTTTTGTTCAGGTTATTGCTTGCGTCACGTGTCATTTAAACAGGTGTAACTTGACAGGTTTCTGTTGAGTTTTACAAGTATTCATATTTTTACGTCAAGACGAGCAAAGCTGTCTGCAAATGCAAATCTCACCCGACTTAATTGGACAAGTTAAACTGACATTGGACAGTAACTATTTAATTGCATTAAGATGCTGTCATTGAAATAAATGTCGCGGAGTTTTCGAAAAAGCAACGGCACGATCACACTCGCGGTTGCAGTATTTTCAAATCAAATTATACAATTAATGGAATATTGTCTTTGGGAATAAAAAAAAAAGCAAAATCGACTGCTTGAAGGAAGTTTCCTTGACTTCTTGAACCTAAGAACCCTGTGGGACAAAAACACACAAGGCACAGCGGTTGACGAGGAAACGGCCTGCCGTCAACATTATTCTGTTTGATCCAAGACAATTTTCGACCAATTTCCATTGATCGGTGCACCAATTGCAGGGGCAGCGGTTTCGCAGCTGCCGCGCACAATTGAGTTACACGCGGTCGACTACATTGGCGGTAACGAACCCCATCAAAGTATGACCACACCATTACATGGGTCATTCTAGCAAGTTAGGTCCAACGTGTTTCATTTTTCCTGTTCCTGTCACCTCAGAACTTTGTATAATTTTTCATTCAAGTATCATTAGAAATTACTACAGGGTGAGTAAAAAAACACGGATTACAAAAAAGGTAAGTGAATTGTTTTCGTTTTGCTGAAAGAACACCTACCCTTTTTTGTGATCCGTGGACAGAACTTCAAAACGATGTTTGTGTTTAAAATTCCGTAACTTCAAAAGTACATGTGTGGTTTGATTGATTCTTGTACTAAAAGAAAGCTTATAAATTGGGCTTCATATTCAGATTTTGAAAGTGCTTCATGCAGAACTCTGCTAAAAAAAAAATGGTCCCGACATTTGGGTTTCGTTTTTCTTTTGTATTTACGAAAGTCCCCATTCAATTGCGAAATCACTGCGTTAGCTATTGTACAAAGCAACTGCCCCGTGACGGATTCTCTGAACAATACCTGGCACAATGCTTTCGCCATTGAAGGGGGCCTCAGTGAGTTTACATTGATAATGTGCTTGCTAATGGTCTATAGTCATCCTGTTGTGAAGTACTTTGAGACGTGTATTAAAGCGCTATGATAAGCACCGAATGGGTCTTTTCATATGCTTTCACGCTACCCCGACGCCCTCTCCTCACAACTCTACCAACTGCTCCGCAAACTTTCACATAATAGGTAACCTATACTACAATGCAAATATATACAACTAAATGATTTACAAATACAAGAGAGATACTTGAAGTATGCCTGCTCGAAGCTAGAAGTACCCAAGGCCAAACCAATCTGGTCAGAAGTGAGCTTGAAATGAATGGTTTTGATCGAATCAAATCAGGCTCAGTGAATTCGGATCCGATATCATTGGATTACTTTGAGATCGAATGCTATAAATACTATTACCACATCAAACATGGCTGAGCTGAACAATCGATAAACGGATACACTGCCTCTGTCAAAGTGGCAGCGCAGAGTTAAAACACTGTAGCTGTACAAATAAATGCCATTAAATACCCCAATCATACAAATCAAATCAAATCATAAAGTGTCCAGAGAAGACCGACACTTGACGGAGACATTTCATCAGACGACTCTAAAAACATGGAGAGATAGAGAAAAAAAAAGCCCACTCGAAAAGCTACCCCGTTCAAACAACGGCACTCGAGCAAACAAACTAATTAAACGTGGACAGGACTAGGGAGGTTCGTCAGGGCCTGGCTGGGGCCGCCGTTTATTCACCTGCCCGAGGAGCGATCGGAATGGAATATGACAAACAGACAAGGTGGATTGTGGATCCTGATTCAATTTGGAAAAGGTTGTCAGCCGCCGCCTTTTTCCAAACTGCGGCATCATTTTTGGTACATTATGTGCATTAGCCGTAGAATGTGTTGTGCACAAAGTAATCACCAAGACATGTTAAAATAATTTGAAAAGTGTCAATACTAAACGTATGAAGTACGATAGTGAACCAAATATTTTAGGCAAAAGCAAATGTCTGATAATGGATTTTCAAGACACCTTAGAATCAATTGATTTTCGTCGTTACTTGGTATTATTACACCGCATATTATTTGAAGTCAATTTTGACATTAAAACGCAAACAAATCATTAAATAATATTTGAGGTCATGTGACGACCACTACTTTCACATTTAAAAACCGTTCTATTGTAAGCTAGATGTTAATC